TGAGCATCTCTCCTTGATCTGCAACTCACGCAATAGCTGCACCATTCCTTGAACGGTACATGAGTGAGCTCATGTTCGGCAATTTCATCAGCAGTTGGTTGCTTAGGAAGTCGCTCTCCACGCGGTTGATGTTCATGAGGTTTCGCCGCATTTTCCAGCGCCATCGCATCCTCCAATGCTCTCTTCTTTGAGTGACTCATCAACCTCTGGAACATAACTTTCTTGGAACCAGACATCCCCAGTCCTAAGGCTTTGCACGCTTCTCGTAGTTCTCGAGCACTCGAATCCTCGTTCAACCGCAGTCCCTCTACTACCACATGATCTTCTTCTCCACATCCGATCAACATTGGGGCGGGACTTGCGCCCACCGGTTCTTCACGGCCATCTTGATCACATACACCTGGGAGATCGATTGGGCTCATTTGTTCATGCGGATCAGCTACGCTCATCTCTTCGGCATACAGATCAAGATCCACTGGCCAATCTTTCACTTCATCTGCCTCGGAAGTTCCAGCTTCAGCAACGAGCGTTAGGCCGTAGTGATCGGGGTCACCTTTCGTACGATGCATGATGGTGAATATCAGGACTGCTGCATCGCCATGTTCAATCACCTCACTCAGGTTCTCCACGTTTTCCAGGGGCTCCTGGAAGTCCACAAGCTCCCATGCTTCCTGTCTGAACACCAAAGTTGTGCGGTACTTCCATAAATGCACTGACATGTCATCTGAAGGGTCGAGGCGAACCTTATCTCTCTTCAAGATGCAAGGATCACCACAGTCGAGGAAATTCCACCCTGGAGAAAGTCCGTGGATGTTGAAATGCGGCTGCACTATAATCCGACCTTCTTTGGTTGCTCGAACACATTCTTCTTCTGGGTCTTTCACCTCATCATCCCGGACCATGAACACTCTGGCATCAACCACAAGGCTATTCCTTCGGAATGAGACCGGCACTTCTATCTCTTCGGGATCATTGCACAGATGCAGGAGTCCATTCCTGTGGTCGAGGCTCCAACCTTTCTTCAGCAATCTCCCCAACGAGATCAGGGGCGCACCAACGTCGGACGCGTAGAACTCCTCTTGGATCATCGCTGGGCCTAGGTCCAGGGTGATCTTCCTGCTACCATGGTTCTTCATCTCTTTCCCTTGGGCGTCGACCATTCGGACTGGTGCACTCGAACCCCTGTCTGAAAGATTCGCTTCCAACCATGCTCGCGGCATCACACTGAGGTCAGCACCTGAATCCAAGACCACCTCCTGAGGTAGCCCTTCAGACAGAGCGTTGTAGCCCTCGTCAGACCTGCTGCTGATCCCTCTTACTTCTGCATGTGCAACCCATTCTTCATCTCCAAGCAATGCATCATCTAAGCTCATGTCCATGACGCTGTACGTCTCCCAAGCAAAGTCGATGACTTCCAGTTCATCCTCACCGTCAACCATGGAATGTTCGATCACTCTGCACCACCATGACTCATTGTCTGACACATACGACTCTGAACCCTCGCTGTCCATCTCATAGACCGTTGTCATTGGGACATCAAGTCGATCACTGTCTGCAAGATCAAACACACGCTTCACACTTGCTGTTCCGGTCGATGAATTTGAGCTCGATGCGGACGAACTGTTCCCCGATGCGGACGATGTATCATTCTGGTTGATGTTTCGAACTTTGACCTTCATCCAACACTCATTGCCCCAGTGCCCTGACTTCCCGCAGATTCGACAAGCATCATGAGGAAGCCTTTCTTTGCCCTTTCCTCCTTTCTTTCCTCTGTCCTTTCCTCCTTTGCTCCAATCATTCCTGCTCCATGAGGACTGTTTTCCTTTTCCTCCTTTCTCATAGCCGTTTCCTTTGCCTGGACGACTCTCATATCCTCCTTTGCCACCTTTGCCTTTGCCGTTCTTTCCTCCATACTTTCCTCCATCTTTGCCACTACCTTTGCCAGCCCCTTTACCCCACTTGCCTTTTCCTTTAGGCCATCCTTTCACACGATCGACATCCATGGGGCTCGGGCCGTTCGGATCATCATACAAAGGTTTCTGCGGTGCCCCTCCTGTCACGATTTGCGAAGACCACTTCTGTGTAGAGCGCTCCCACCGAAGGATCATGTCTCTCATGCTCTCATACGTAGAATCGTCACCGATGGTGATTGTCAAGTGTGACCGAACTTGCTGAGGCAAAACACGCAACAAGATTGCACTCTGCATCTCATTCGGAACTGGCTTTCCCGACGCCTGCTCGTACTTGCGGAAGAGGTCCTCCAGACGTAGCACCTGCTCCAGGAGATTCCCTTGATTCATTGCCGGAAACTGTGAGATTGCTCCCAACAGTGCAAGCGCTGGTGTCTTATTGGCGGGTGCCAGCACATTGTTTAGCACACGCCATGTCTCGAATCCATTGGCACCGGAGGCCTTTCCCGAAGCATGCTTGTGAGGATTGCGTACAGCTGCTTTCCCTGTAGGATGGCATCGTCGGTCATAGTGGCTTCTTCACAAGGCGAACTCAAATCCTGCTCTACCTCTTCAATCGCAGTATACATCTCAGGGCTTATTGCAAGGATCCACTGCTTGAAGCTCCAACTCCAATCTTGCCATTGAGTTAGCTCTTCTTCTCGGTCTTTGGGCTTGAAAGGGTCAGGTCGGGGGATGAACTTCGTCCACCCCGTCGGAGCTTCCTTCCTGGAACCAAGGTGAGTGACCGCTTCTTTCAACTCTTCTGACTGTCTTTGCTGCTCAATGGACATGGACTGAAACAAACCCATGAAAGAACGATTCTGCTCTTGGCCCTGCATCACCATGTTGCCTAAGGCTTCCAAAATCTGAGGCACACTCGCAGTTGCAGACTGAGGCGATGTTGGCTGGGACTGTGCAAACGGATTCGGGGCTGAGGAAGGTTGGGGGTTGACCTTGAGGAGACGCCATGACTGCAATCAAAGCTCAACGGAACCCTCAGACTGCTTCAATGCCACCTCGAACTTCAACCTCTTTGGCGTAGGCTCACCGGTCTCGGTCAGGTCAAGTGGTTCTTGCCCTGGTCCGACCTAGACAAGATCTCCAGGTCACGCTCAAACGTCTTGCCCTCTTCAGTCGCGTGCACAAAGTTCTCTTGAGCACTCCACTCTACAGCTTCACGACACACGTTTCTCTGTTGCGATGAACCGAAAATCTTCCAGGATGCTCGGGTTCTTGTTCAAACACTTTTCAGCCAAAGCGAAAACGTCCTCGATCCTGCTCAGTCTATCCAGCTTGGGCTCCAAACTCAAGCGAGCTGACTCCAGGATGTTCTGCCAACCTTTCTGGGTTCGATTCTCTGGCTTCGGTCGCAACAAGAAACAAGAGCTGCTCAAAGTAAAACTCACGTAGCTTCTGCTTTGCTTCTTCCAAACTGCCCCACGTCGCCGTCGTGCCACAGCAGCCCACAGCGCGGTGGTAAAACACGAAGAGGTACTGGCCGCCTTGCCGCCCGTCTGCACCACCCTAGGCCGCCACCAGCAGCCGAAGCACAGAGGAAGCTATGAAGAGGATCCAACCCTCAGAGGCCCAAGACTACACCCGGGGCTCTACCTACCCTAGTGCTGAGGCTAGGTTCCTGGCCTCTTGGAGCTCCGGTACCCAAAGGGTGAACCTTCACAGCTCCGCTACCATACGAAACTTTTCCACTTCAAGCAAAAGCGCCTGTGTCATTGCACACTCAATGGAAAACATGATGTGCCCAAGTAAAATCACTTTGGGGTAAAACAGGGGTGTGCTACTGTACTTTCACCTTTTGCACCTTGAGTACGGAGCGCAGCCCCGCCTGGCAACCCCACAGTGGGATGCATCTTGGCCCGTGTCCGGCACGAAGGCTCTGTCACCAAGGTCTATGAGGAGGCAGACGGCAAGGGGGACCGAGTGCATGAGGCTATAGCGCACACTCAAGTTAGACTGAGGGCATCTCATGGTCCGTCAGTTCGCGTCTTGCTCCAGCTGCTGCTGTACTTCTCTTGGCCATGTAGGGATACCGTTTTGTCTCACGCGCCCGCGCCCATGCCTCCACCTTGGCCATCGTTCCTGTCCAGGCAGCACATAGTTTCTTCCATGCCCGTGCATACAAGTTAGGTCTTAGGGCTGCCGCTCCAGCCCAAAATGTGGAAGCAGATGAAGAGCAGTTAGGCCTTGGCAAGGTGGCTGCTGCGCAGCTCTTCCAGCTATCGAAGCTGTGTCTTGCATTTCTTTGCCCGCCAGAGCATTCGTTCAAGATGCACTGACTTCACGGTTGCGGCGTGCTGGCCGATCTTGGCCGTATAGGTAAGCACAAGGTGACAAGAGGCTGACGTTGTGATTATGAAAGCCCCAGCGCCAGAGCCAGCCGTTCCTTCCAAGGCGCAGCTGCGCCATGGCGCCATGTCCGACTGAGCGAGAGATTTGCATCGTTGTCGACGAGAGCGATTTTGGTTGCTTTGCCCCCTGGCACCGGCAAATCCACTTTGACTGTCCTGCTCAATGAAGCACTTGCAAGAAGAGTGGACCCCATGCAGTTTGTGGAGCTCCATCTTGGAAGACTCCCAAAGTCTGCTACAATGCGGAGCAGTTGCGAGAGTTTCTGGGATTTGCAGCCCCCCAAGCTCGGTACTTTGCGGATGCTGACAAACCACCTTGCTGGGAAGACCGTGCCGCCACATATGGCGCTCTGTAAAGGCGGGGCGAGTGCTGCCGGGAGTCTACGAGGAGCTGATATTGGATTTCTGGGAGCAGGCCCAGCCCTCGCAGGTTCCGAAAGTCCTCCTCATGAACGATTATGGAGGTGAGGAAGCTCCATGGTTCACTCTTACGGCCAAGCTGCCGCTTAAAGAAATGGAAGCTAAGGCCGGTGGAGAGGCAGAATGCCGCCAGAAATCCCGAAGGACCCAGCAATGTGGTTCGCTGCTTCCGCAGGGCATGGCACAATCTGCCGGGAGAGGTCCTTAGCTTTCCCGACATCGTGCAAGCACTAGTTTGCTTCGCGATGTCGACCTGGGAAGGTTAGTGAAAGTCCATGCGAAGCCGCAGCGTGTCGCAGCATGCGAGCGCCGGCACACTCTTTTCGTGCGCAAGGCAAATGAACAGAACCGCCGTGAGCGCCCTCGCTTCTGCGCTTGTCTCGTTCGTTGGGGCGCCTTCGTTCTGAGTGCCGGCCTGGTGGTTCATATGACGGCTCGTGACAGGACTCATGCACGTGACGGACGAAGGCTCCAGCCTCCCTGTGCTTGCCAGCAGCAGGGCATTGCCAGTGGCCGCCTGGGTGGAACATCCGCTTGGTGGACGCCTGGCTTTGAGAGTCTTGGGGCCCCTTGCAATGGGGTGCAGATTCAAGCTGCCTAACACGGATTTGTAAACGAAAGCCTGCTCGCTGCAGCTACTGTGCACAAAATGTGGATGTTCATCCACGACACGGCCCGTGCTAAGCACATACATCACAGTGTACTTGTAGAACAATTTTTTATGCATGGAAAAGGACCACTGCCTTGGGTTTCCCAAAGCAGTGCGAAAAGCAGCTTCACCATCTTCATACAAAGAACAAAGTGCCAAGTCCAACCGCTGCACCATGTCCCTTTTCTTGTTCTTGGCATACTCCAATTTGTGCTTTGGCATAACGATGACTGAAGTAATGTCCACCGTCCGACAGTCTACCATGATGCGGCCCGCAGTCTCGTACTTGAGAAAGGTGTTTGCGTCACTTTGCAGCATACACTACTGCACTGTTTTAACCAAGCACCAACACTGCTTTTAGGAACACAACACATGCCGCATGCCTTCCTTATCTCGCCACTGCTGCATCAAGTCCAACGTGAGCCGGTGGGATTGGATTCCTTCATCATCTTGCTCGGACTTTAACCTTTTCGCACTGTACGCAAGTGACTCAGGAGGCTCCTCGATTTGAAAGCATGCTTTGGCATACTGTCCTCCGCGCACCAGAGTCTGCAGGGTCACGGCTGTTTCACGCACCAATTGGCTGACATCCTGGTGTCGGAAGCCTTTCTTGAAAAGACCTTTGATCGAACGCCAAGCCCGCTCTTGGGAATTCGACAGATAAGTGCCGTAACCCGGGCACACTTGACCGAGACCACTCTGCCAATCTGCGCTCCACCACAAGCCTTTCTTCTGCAAGACCCACTTCTCCAAGTAATCCACGAATTTCTCCTCAAACAAACCTACAAGCTCCGCTGCGTTACCCCAAGGCAGCTTTCCCAGCAGCAGCCTTCTGGTCTATCAACCCAGCGCTATCAAGATCGAAAAAAAATAGTCTATGAAGCCAGCTCAAGAGATCGAAACCATGTCAAACACACACAGACACACACACACACACACACACACACACAGCGCGCTGTCCTGATTCCAGTCTTCGGGGTCACGCAGCCTTCACAACGTGTCTTCCCAGATGACATGGAACTGTAATGGATGTGCGATTTTCGCGCTAGAACTGGATGATTTCCGTTATCTCCAGCGTCAACTCTGAGTCAACTTTCTTTTTTGTCCCAGTGCGTCTTTCTTTATGTGTTCTAAGTCCCGGTGCAAAGTAGCGTCTGGAAAGCATGCACTTGTCGCATTGATGGCACCGCCTGCACCATCCATGACCACATTTGTTACCAGTTTCTTCCAATCCAAACCCGAAGCTTCCAATAGCTTCTGGAAAGATGTGCATAACACGGTTCATCTCCTTGTCACACACAGCACAAACTCCGGCCAGAATCGATTGAGCACCACTCCGCCAACCTGGTGCAAGACCAGTCCGAGGCTAGCTAACACAAGATCCTGCACATTGGTCTTGAATGTGGCATCCATGACGAGCACACACCGATCCTGTGTGCCAAGGTCGGCAATCACGGCATCCAAATTCTCTTGCTCGAAAACAAGACCCGAACCGTTTCTTCTGAAACCAGAGGTGTCTCTTCCGTGTGAAGCACAGCGACTGGCAAGGGTGGGTTTTTGGCAAAAAGCTCGAAATGTGGAAACAAACTTGCCGTCACAGGATTTGGCCCAGCGCCGCCCCGCGCTGGTCCGATCCGGACCGGACCGGTCACGGTCACGGTCGGACGGTCGGACGAACCGTGACGGACCGACTTGGACCGACTCGGACCGACCGACCCATCGGTCCGGTCGGGCGCACCGTCGGAACGGAACCGGCCGCTCCGAACTCCGGAGTCTTATTGCCTTTGTTGGCTGCCCTCGAGCGATGCGGGGCACCTTGCTGTGAAAACTTCCACACACGTTGCAGAGTTGCAACAGAAGACACGAAAGCTGGCATAGGCTGCATTGGAGGCGCCGGGGGCAACTGAGCAGCGAGGCCAGCAGAACAAGAAAAGAGGGGAAACCACCGACGAACTTGACGGTGAACGCGATCGGAAGAGAATAAGGTAATCCCGCTCACAGCTGAGTCCCTTCCTGTCCGGTTCTGCCTGCATGTCTGCGGGCGTGTGCGCTCCGTCAGCTCTTTCTTTATTCCCGTGTTCGTAATGGACGCGGCGCCGTTCCTTTTTTTCCGCTCCCCTTCCCCCGCCCCCGTTCTTTCCTTCGTCACCTCCGTTGCCTCCGTCACCCCCGTTACCGTTGCCGCCCGCCTCCTTCCCCCCCCTCGCCCCCCTCGCCCCCCTCGGCCCCTTGCCTTGCGCCACCCCCCCCTTATGGGCGCAGTTGCTCCTTCCGTCCAGGCTGTGCAGGTCCATCTTCCCAAACCTGCGGAGGTTGGCGTCCTTTGTCCATGCTGGAGAAGCCCTTCAAGGCCATTGAGGGTCCAGTGGTTGCCCGCCTCGCCTCCTCCCGGCCGGTGTGGGCTTGCGGATTATCCGTTCAGCAACCTCAACCTGGCCTACGTTTGTGGCGTGTCTGCAGCTGCGGAGGTCCTCTACACTGATGATACCCTGGTGTGCGAGGATTCATTCCGGCGCAAGATGCCTCTCCTTCGTGTTCCAGCTGACTTTGAGAAATTCTTCAACACTCGGGCACCTGCAGACCCTGCCGCACGCCACCCCTACAGCAAGCCTGCAAAACCTGCTGTCTGTCTCTCCCCCAAGCCTGCATGGCTTCCAGTACAGAGTCCATTTCCCCGTAAACACAAAGGCTTGAAGGCCCCAGAGTCTGCGGTGTAACCTGTTGTCTGAAGAGAGCCCTCTTTGGAAACGGGGGATTCGTGCCTTCCCGGTGTGCTACTTTCTGCTACCAGTCACAAGGGTTTGGATCCGGCGACAAGTGTTGACGTTCTGCTGCTTGGGCCTTGTTGCTTCTGTCGGATTGCCTTTCTGCGTGTTGGGGCTGGGAGGAGTGTACTGTTCACACAGCAGAACTGTTCTTCCTCGTCTGCTCTCTCAAGTTCCGTCGGCCCTCGCAATGGCACTTGTTAGTTTTTGACCGGAATGCGCTTTTCTCCACGTTACGTGCCACTCGGGGGTTGGTGACATTCGTAGTAACCAGTCCTCTTCATGCCTCCTTTTCCTGTTTTGGAAAATGAGGCTTAGGACGCTGGGTGTTCGGCGCCGATGTATTCCTTCCAGTGGGGGCGACCTGGTTCTCGGTTGACTTACGCATGGTCACTGGTCCCATCCGTGCGCGTGTGCGCTCCCTACTCCGAAGGCAGAGCACGGCCGCGTGGAGCCAGCGCAGTTCAGGGGCTCTTGCCCCGTGTGGCAAAGCATGTTTTCTGCCTGTCCCTTGACCCCTCTCTCTTCTTGCTATCCTCCTTCCCAGCCCTTGGGTTGCTTGGTGTCTCCATTGGACTCGCTCCCTCTGACCTGTCTGCGATGGTCAACCGGCTTCATCGGGCCATAGGGAGTTCTTGGACTGAGCGGCTCCATTCCGACACGAACCTTCAAGTCCTGGCATGCCGTACTCTGCCCGCAATCACACCGCGGCATGTGGTCATGGCCCCCCTGGTGGACCGTCTCCGGAACGCAATTGAAGCTAAGCTCGCAAGTATCGTTCCACCTTCCCAACTGCTGGCCGCGGCTGATGCCTGGCGTGACTCCGGTGCGCCTGCCCAAGCGCTACAGCGGTGGCCCATGGCTCGTGTCCAGGGAAGCGGTCCTGTCTGCGGATGTGAATGGGAGTGCAGCCTCTGCCGCCCGGGAAGTTGGTTCTGACTTAGCCTACCGATGCACCCTACCGCGTTCTCTCGGCCAGGCCATTTGCAAACTATCTTTCCAGAAGCTGGCGGACTTGGAGGAACAAGACATGGAATCCTACTCGACTCTTCGGCAACATGCGCAACTCCAGTCAGAGCCCGCTTGTACATCACTTTGGTAAGAATGTCAAACCTCGGCCCTACATTGGCCCTACATGAGCCTGCGTGACTCGCAACACCTCACAACACACTGCCAGCAGCTTCGGGCATATAGGGCCAATGAGGTGTTTTTGAACGGCATACCGAACCAGCTGCAAGACTCGGAGATGCTGATCGGAATTGCGGACACGCTACTGCATCTGCCTGAAACGTTTCCGGCGGCGTATTTGAAGGTTTATGACCCTATCATCACGCAGTGTCTTAGACTGTCGGGGGCATTGCAGCATTTCGACCTTGCTGAAATGTTGGATTGCCCGGTTCCGCAGCTGGACAAAGCAAGGCTTTCGGAGTCCCTGGTGGGGTATGGCTTTCTTACCACAGCGCAGTACATCGCGGATCTTTTCTCTGCGGTGTCGGACTTGCCGAGTGTCATCAATGCCAGTTTTCCTGCAATGCTCAGCTACGCTGACCCAGATTATTGGCTGGGTGCACTTCTGCTCGCATTCGAGTCCCACCAAAAAGGTCCCCTGGAGCGAACGGCCGGGCTGCCCATTGTTATTGGTTTTCCTGAATCTGACAATAAAATTACTGACCTGCAGATCAATGTGCCGCCCGCAGCCATGGTGGCCTTCTTAGCTGGCCGCGCTTATCGGTGTCCCAAGTGCCCTACTACCAAATATGTGATGGACGCGCACAGTGGACTGCCACAAGTCACTGGCCAAGCCTCCCAAGAAGCCTTGCAGGCATGGGCCGCAGCTGCTAAGCACACGGACGTGGAAAAGGCCAGGCTTGCCCAGCCCAACCTGAATACGTTCCTAGGCATCACGCTGCAGGGCACAGAGACACTTGGGCAAAGGCACTATCAAGAATTTAGGCCGGACCACCCCCCTGCCCATTTCCTTGACGCCATCCGGCTTGCCCTTGCGGCCTCGGTGGCCAACCAAAACATTGAACACTTTTGGTCAGTTTATAACTTGGAATGGCCTGACACTTCTCACAGAATGGCTGTTTTTCTACGGCGAGTGTTGCCCCTAGAGTGCTTGCTCTCCTCGCCCTTGGCTGCGCCGGTGGAAGTGAACACTGCGGCAGCCTCGCCGGAGGTCGTCAGCATCTCTTCTGAAACTAACGAAGGTTCTCCCTGCCCGATGGATGACATGTCGGATGCGGAGGACGAACCCGAGGCACAGGTGAATGATTGGCGCTTCTCGGAGCTGCGAACCACTGACCTTGCAGCTTTGCGAGAAGTGGATGTCTCAGCCCCTTTCCGACTGCCAGTCATCTTCGAAGCGCATTGGAAAGGGATCAGCACCACACCCACCAAGCATGGGCCAAAACGTCCCCGAAATGAGTGGTATGACGCAGCCACTGCTCACTGGGCTGCCATTAAGGGGCTCATGCGAGCTAAACATCCAACCAAGCAGCGACTCAACAGCTTCTGGTTTAAGATGTACTGCCATGGCACCTCCAAGGACCCTGATCCTTCGGCCCTACGTGCGGCAGTTACCTCCTTCCCCTATCAGTATAAGGACGAAGGTGTTGTGCAGTACCGGCAAATCCAGGAAGCTGTCCGGGTGATGTGGCTCGCGGCCCAAACCTCAATGACAAGATACAGAGGTATCCCCATTCCGGACGGCATCCCTGAGTGGGGGGTTGATGAGCAAGAGCTGCCCCCAATGCAGGTCATGCCCAGCCGTACGCGTTCCCATACCACCTCCGATGGCCATCGCTCTCGGCGTCCGGACTGGGAGGGCTCCTGGCAATAGACAGCAAGTTGTCATCTGAGGGCTCCTACTGACGCCATGAACGCGCCATTGAGTCCTTTCATGGCATGCTGCCTAGCGTGATGTGAGCCCTCACATCTCCTCGCCGATACATGCCGCAAGACTACCTCGGGATATTCTTGGTTTGGCAACCCTCTCGTGGTCTATGCCACGGATTGGATCGTGCTTGTCTTCTGTGTGCTCACTGCCTGCACCTGTGAACACCCTTCTGTGTCGGCCCTGCGTTGTGCCTATGGTGACGGGGGGCCTTTCTTTCGTGGTTGCTCCACTGGCCATCTGCCACGGACTGCCCTGGGCCGGTCCTGCCTGGATGTTCCAGCTCTGTCATCGGTAAAACGGCCAATCTTCCTTTCCTCTGCCCCCTCTAGGTGGGCAGGTTGCTTGCTTCTATGTGCTACGATCAAGTGTGAACCCCTTGGACTAGAGGGTTGGCCATCTCTCGTCTGGAAGGTGACACCCCCTTGGCGTACAACGACGTCATGCCTATTGGGAGAGACCAGCTAGGGGATGCTGCTTCCGGGTTGTGGACACTCCTATGCGGAGATCAGCTTCCACTTCCCTAGCAATGTGCCATCGAGCACCTGTGAACAACCTGGCCTTCACGAGAGCCATTCTCGCCTGTGCTTGGGTTGCTACGGGGTTCCCTGCCTGCTTGGTGTCTATCTCTGCTTGCGTCAAAGCAGCCATACATGACTACCTCCCCATCGGTAGGTGGCCAAGCGTGATGTGAGCCCTCACATCTCCTCACCGACGTCTGTCAGTTTGGGCATGGACGGGCTGATTCTGGG